TGCGCACTACCACACCTGGCTGATTTTTTTATTTATTGTAGAGATGAGGTCTTGCTGCCCAAGCGGGTCTCGAACCCTCAGGCTCAGGCAATCCACTCACCTCAGCCTCCCAAAGGCGCGGGATTACAGGCTGAGCCACCAAGTTGTGGAGGAGTGTATCCACAGGTTTGGGCACCCCAAGATCCCTCCAGGTCTTAGAGTTCTATAGTCCAAAGACAATAGCCCTGCCAGGGCCATAGGCTTCCCTAAGTCGTGTTTCACAATTGTTACATAGGCTGGGACTCAGCATAATCTTATTGGGTATGATTTATAAATCATCTCCAGGCTTCAGACAATGTAAAGTTCTCATAATTGACTCAACCCAGGTATATGTTTTCTCCACATCCATTTAAAGGATGCCCATATGCTAACCACAGCTAAACACAGGAGACCAGAGTTCTGGAGAGTATTTGAGTTTCAGCGAATTTGAGGTCAGGTACCTGACTGAAACCCTTTGTCCTGGGGGCAGCAGCTTATTTTCAAGACCCTCTCCAAGGCCAGAATCTGGGTCAAAGGGAGAAAAAAAGGGTGTGTCAACAAGAAATCTGGCACTCACACAAGGATGCTGCCTCACCCAAGCATTTCCTCCACAAAACGATGGGATAAGATACCTGTTCACGTTAGACCTGTCCTTAGGCTGAAACCTGTTCCCCAGAGCCAGGAGTCAAAGTCCACAGCACAGACATGGTATTAGGAGATAGAGTTTAGATGTGTGTCCTCTTAAATCTTCATTTGGGAAATGGTCTCAGTGTTAAAAATTGGGTTCCTTGGGAGTTGGAGGAATCTTGCCTGCTGGTCGTGATGAGTGCATTCTAACATCATGAGTTCTCAAGAGAGATGGTGTTTTCAAAAGAGCATGGCACATGTTTATGTGATTTTGGTGCCCTCTCTCAACATGGGTCCAGCAGAATGGTGCTTTGTGTCACCATTCTATGCTTTCTGAGTCCTCAGAAGATTTTCAGCAGAGGCCATGGCCACCCACAACTTGAGCCAAAGAAACCTTTAGTGTGTTTCAATGAGCCAGGCTCTCTTGTTTCTATAGAGCACGAGAAAACCCACTTCTCTATGCATCTGGACAACACAGTTGGGGCTCATCTAATAGCAGGCTGAGAGCATTTCAAATCTATTTTCTTATCCAGCTTCACCCATATCTTGAGAGAAAAACTCCATATATTGGGTTGAGATTTAGGTTGGTTCTATCACTAAGATCTCTCATCCCTC